CAATAACATATTATGAGGTATGTTTAGTATAATGTTACGCTAAATATTACTCTATATTTACGAAAAATTTCAGATTTAATACAGATTTCCAAAGAGAAATTCCAAGATTTACAGCATCTAGCCCAGTTTTGTGGACCTGAGGCAGCAAACTTTTATTCGTCAATACCCCATAAATGAATGTTTTAAATGAATGTTTTCTTGTTTCATTATTTAATAAAATATTATAAAACTGTTGACGCTCGGACTAAGCTGTTTTATTCCCAGCTTTTGGTGGTGTTACTGAGTAATTTTGAGTATTATCAACGTTATGCAACCGCAATCAAATTTGCCGTTATATTTTACCGTAGTATCAAGAGCTACATTTCCTTTAATGATGCTCAAACATTAAAATTACTTTTACAGGCGAACTTATACAGTCTGAAACTTTTAACACGATTTCCTAGATTATTTTGTATTTTGACTTAGCTCATTTATTCCCTGTACCCTTCATTTATAAAAAAAATACCTATTTTACAAAGACGAATGATTACCATGATTAGTTCTTGTTTTGAGATGTCAGTCTTCAAATCTGTAAGATCCAACTTGATCCTTAGTTGCGCTCGTTTTAGTTCGACTTCCAATAAGTTGCTTGCATTCATTTTATTACTTTTTTGACTTTTCGAATAACGAAAGCTCAAACGTCAATTGACAGTGACAGATTTATTTCAAAACATGATAAAACAAAACTCCCTGTTAATTTTGCCAAATTTACAACAATTTGACAGGCATTATAGGAAAAGAAAACGAACTGTATTTCCTGTATGTACATATAATATATAGTTCATTTTCTTTCTATAATACCTGCCAAATTGTTGTAAAGTTGGCAAAATTAACAGAGAGTTTTGTTTTATCATGTTTTGAAATAAATATGTCACATTGACGTTTCAGCTTTCGTTATTCAAAAAGAAAAGGTGCATAAAAAATGTTGTGGGGTGTTTATTTGTCATTTATTTACCTAGAAAAGGTGTTTTGTTCTATTTAATTACCTTGTAGCACGTTTTTACAACAAATATGTACTTCGTTAAAATTGTATTTATCTATAAATTTATTAGTATTTTAACCTCCACTATTTAGTTACTGAAAATCAGAGCTGAAAATGTTACTAAAAATCAGGAGAACAACACAAATTTTATAAGGGTCCTGGATAATACCAACAGAAACCCTAAAATATTTACATTAACAAGTATTATAGAAAAAAAACGAACTATATGTATTTAACCTTAGGTTAGATCGTAATGACATTTACAAACATTATTTACAACTTTTTTTTTGTTTTATTTTTTTTTATTAACATTTCTTAAATTTCTTTCGTACCCCTTCTCTATCTCTAATAAGAAACGCTATGATGTATTTCACCATTCAAGCGTTTTAAATATTTATAATAATATAAAAATTTGTTGTTTATTGATTGAAAACACGGCAGTTATCTACCTTATCGACTAGCCGCTTTTATTTTCGACCGCTTGGCGGCACTGCCGGTTTGAGTTTGACTTTGACAATCATTCAAATAAAAAGTGAGGTTAAGTGCACGTGTTTACTTTTAAAAGTGAAATGTCGAAGTGTCGTAAAAAAGATTCTGTAACCCTCAGCCAAGATGCAGTGGAATTTTCGGTCTTTACAGCAGAAGAAATACGAAAATTATCCGTCGTAAAGATTTGTAGTCCGTTAACGTTCGATGCTTTAGGTTATCCGTTACCTGGCGGGCTTTACGATAAATTAATGGGGCCCCTTTCGGACCGCTCAGAACCTTGCGGCACATGCTTCCAAAATATTTACCAATGCCCGGGGCATTTCGGCCATATAGAACTCACTTTACCCGTAGTAAATGGGTTATTTACCAAGTTTATATTGATGGTGTTGAAATTAACTTGTTTTCATTGTTACCATATTAGAATTCCGGGCCATGTCAAGCATTTATTATCGGTACAACTTCGTTTATTAAACGCCGGGTTTATAACGGAGCCTTTAGAAATTGAGAATAAACTCGATCAACTCATTACAGAGAGTAAATCGATGGAAAACGTTCAAGAAGATGAGTTATTGCCGTTTTTATTGGAATACGAGGAGATTATTAAGGAGAATTCTCTTGAAGGTAAAGGATTGAATATTTTTAATAAAAATACGGAAGGTATGAAAAAAGAATTGATTGATTCGTTGCTAAAAAAGTTAAAAACGCGAGGAAATTGTATGCATTGCAATAAAACGTTGAGTAGAATCACCAAAATTAGAGACAAATTGATTGAAATTCGCCCATCGAGCGTTCAAAAAGGGATGGAACAAAAATATCTTAATCCAGAGGAAATTCGACGTCACCTAAGGTCGTTGTATAAGAACGAAAAGAATTTTCTACATCAATTAGCCCCCGTTTTAAAAACTGTGAAATCAGAGAATCCCACAGATATATTTTTTTTTGAGGTTATCCCCGTTCCTCCTCCAAACGTGCGCCCTGTTAATTTCATTGGGGGGAAAGCTTCAGAAAGTAAGCAATCCGCAATTTATAAACAAATCCTCCATGAGTGTTCCTTAGTTAGAACAATTGTACAAGTATTAAAAAACCGCGGAAATTTAGAAGATTTGCACGAAACGGCAAAATCAGTTTACGCCGTTGCGAGGGGTAATACGGTTTTGGAGAAACTAAATTTTGCTTGGGAAGCCCTCCAGATGAATGTTAATAACATAATTGATTGTAATTCGGTGCAAATTCACGGGGGGCAAGGTTTGAAACAAATTATTGAGAAGAAATCGGGCGTTATTCGGATGCATATGATGGGGAAAAGGGTTAATTTCTCTGGGAGATCGGTTATAACGCCCGATCCGAATATTAATATTGATGAAGTCGGCGTTCCGGAAGAATTCGCGAAAAAATTAACCTTTCCAGTTCCTGTTACCACGTGGAATGTTGAAGAGTTAAGGAAGTTGATTAAAAATGGACCAAATATTTATCCAGGGTTTGTATAATATACAAATAAATCTTTCTGATAATTATCCGGCGCATAAACTTGAGATATTCGCTTTTGTACAAAGTGTTTTTGTCGGTAAGATTGCTAACTGCGAAATAAAAATCGGTTGGTAGTAGTTTTTCCCCCATATCTAGTAATTTGTGCCATAATTTAATTTAAATCTCATAAACAATTTTTTTTAGGTTATAAAAATGTTGACGTTTCAACAATGGCGTTGAAACGTCATTAACTTCGCTTCTAAATCATTCTTTCTGACAGAAGCGAAGTGAGCAACGTTTCACCAATTGATAGATAGCTGATAGTTGGCAATAAATAATTTGACACTTACTAAAAAAAATAATTAATAAATACAAATAAAAACAAAACGTTGCGTTAAAATGGCGGATAATAACGAATAAAATTAATTTGACGTTTACAAAGTGAGGTTAGGTTTTATCTTTGTGCATAATCGCGTGGGAAATTAAAAATCCTTTAATTTGAGTCCAAACACGACCCAATTATCTTAAAAAACACCCGAGATATCCCACATTTAATTTTGACATAACCTCAAAAAAGTGACAACCGGAAGTTGGTGGTGTACGTTGTTTTTTAAGATAACTCGACCGAGTTTAGGCTCATTTTAAAGGGAATTTAATGTAGATTACGAATACGATGTTAGATTAATCAAATTCGATAGTAATAAAAACAAAATGGAGGATGATTTAAGAAAAAGATTCGATTTCAACGAAATTAAATTCGCCGGGTATTTTTAGATCTAGAAATAAAGAATTTTATTATTATTTTATTAAAATTATTAATCAAGATCGCGAAAAATATCAAACAATATCAATTTGACGTTTACAAAGTGAGGTTAGGTTTTATCTTTATGCATAATCTCGTGGGAAATTAAAGATCCTTTAATTTGAGTCCAAACACGACCCAATTATCTTAAAAAACACCCGAGATATCCCACATTTAATTTTGACATAACCTCAAAAAAGTGACAACCGGAAGTTGGTGGTGTACGTTGTTTTTTAAGATAACTCGACCGAGTTTAGGCTCATTTTAAAGGGAATTTAATGTAGATTACGAATACGATGTTAGATTAATCAAATTCGATAGTAATAAAAACAAAATGGAGGCTGATTTCAAAAAAGGGATTCGATTTCGACGAAATTAAATTCGCCGGGTATTTTTAGATCTAGAAATAAAGAATTTTATTATTATCTAATTAAAATTATTAATCAAGATCGCGAAAAATATCAAACAATATCAATTTGACGTTTACAAAGTGAGGTTAGGTTCTTTTTTTACTCATAATCGGGTGGGGAATTAAAAATCCCTTAAATCGAGTCCAAACACGACCCAATTATCTTAAAAAACACCCAAAACATCCAACATTTAATTTTGACATAACCTGAAAAAAGTGACAATCGGAAGTTTGTTGCCTTTTAAGATAACTTGACCGAGTTTGGGCTCGTTTTAAAGCGAATTTAATATAGATTACGAATGCGATATTGGTTTAATTAAATTCTGTCAAAATAAAGACAAAATGGCGGATAATTTAATGAAAAATGATACGATTTGAACGAAATTAAGTTCGCGGCGGACTTTTAAGTAAAAATATAGAATTTCGCTATTATTTAATTGAAATTATTAATCAAGATGGCAGAAAACATCAAATAATATTAATTTGACGTTTATAAATTGAGGTTAGGTTTTTTATTTATTCACGATCGTGTGGGGAATTAAAAATGCTTCAAATTGAGTCCAAACTCGACTCGATTATCTCAAGAAACACCCGCGATATCCCACATTTAATTTTGACATAACCTCAAAAAAGTGACAATCAGAAGTTTGTTATCTTTTAAGATAACCTCATCGAGTTTGGGCTCGTTTCAAAGAGAATTTAATTCTCTACAAATTATCTATAAACATTCCTCTAAGATGTCTGGCTGAACCTAAAACTTTCTAGTTCTAGGTCTACTGTTAGTTCTAGTTTTAATTGTTATTTAACCCTAAATTCTTGTACACTTTAGTTGATCTAAAAATATTTTTTTTTTTATTTAATCCACTTAGCTTGCTTATAATTTCATCCATTTACGTATGTTTTTCATTAAAAAAACTTAAATTCAACGTCAATTTGACAAGCAACTGCAATATTTGGATCTTAATCACCATGGTAACCGAGTCAAGTTGGATAACCTTAAAATAATAAAATTTTATTTCGATTTTTTTATCAATTCTAACCTTTTTTTATTAATTTTAAAACAATTCGAATTCTTTACGATTATCTTGCTTTCTTTTAATATCTTTATATTTTTGTATAAATGTATAAACTGTATAAATAAAAACATAGAAATGTCAATTCTTCCAATGACGTCACAGCAAGACCTTTGCGGGGGATACGTTCATAAAAACAGCGTTCATAGGGAGTTGGATAACCTTATACAGTATGTTTACTGATATTTACTCAACGGACCTTGGGTTAACCCAACTTCTTTCTGACAGAAGCGAAGTGAGCAACGTTTCTAAATCGTTGTTTAAATGTCAAATTTTTATTACGTAAAAAAATGTTTGAGAGGTTAGATTAAAAAAAAACCTTAATTTCTGATTTTTTTTTATTATATTTTTGTTTTTGTGACAAACTTTAAGATATTTTATAAAAATTAAAAATGTATCAAAATGACATTGACATTTCAAACCGGAAGTTGCTTATATCTCGAGTAATATTGGAATTAAACGTATTATGTTTCGGCTCATTTTAAAGGATTTTTCATGACGATTACAAATATGTCGAAATTGAGGTTGACATTTCTAACCGGAAGTTAACCATAACTTCGCTAATATTGAAGATAAATATGTCGTGTTTGTACTCATTTTAAAGGATTTTTAATGAAGATTACAAATATGTCAAAATTAAGGTTGACATTTTAAACCTGAAGTTAGTTATCGTATTGTAGACAAATGGACAACTTCATGGTGGTCTTTCATAATGTATTATTTATTAGAAAAAACCTTTAAAATGTGTCCAAATGTGATGCATTTATCTCAAAAAACAAAAAAGTTAGAATAAAAGCATTAAACCCGAAGTTAGCAACAATGAAGATAGCAATTTAATTTTTAAATATTAATACCAACCTTAATTGCTGATTTTTTTTATTACATTTTTGTTTTCGTAACAAATTTTAAGACGTTTTATAAAATTAAGAATATATGAAAATGACATTGACATTTCAAACCGGAAGTTGCTTGTATCTCGAGTAATATTGGAATTAAACGTATCATGTTTGGGCTCGTTTTAAAGGATTTTTAATGAAGATTATAAATATGTTCAAATTTGAGGTTAACAGTTTACACCTGAAGTTTGTAGTCATACAGGGTGTCACACAAGAAACGCCCCAAGCTGTAACTCTGTCCGATTTTAATGAGACAGGTATCAAATGAATACTATGTTTCATGCTACAAATAAATTATAACAAAGAAACAAATTATAACACTTATCCAACATTTTCTTAAAGCCATTTATGTTATACTGTAGTATGTTATGTTCAATATCTGAAATAGTTGTAAATGACAGTTATAACTTGTTTTTATTTTTTTTTCATGGCACACTACAGTATAACAAGTGATTTTAAGAAAATGTTCTTAAAATGTTTTAGTATTTATTTCTTCTGAAATTACAATTAATATTGAAGTATGTATTGTACATCAATGTGTTCAGAAAAAAATTTCTACCCAACTATGTGAAGAAAAATATACCGAGCAATTTAAAAAACGAAAAAATTTATTTGTAGCATGAAACTTAGTACCTATTCATCAAACGATTTCATTTGATATCTGGTTCATAACAATTGGAATGTATATGACAGAGTTATAGCTTGGGGTGTTTTTTATCTGACACCCTGTATAATGGACAAATGGACAACTTAATGGTGTTCTTTGATGATGTATTCTTTATTAAAAAAACTTTTAAAATGTGTCCAAACATGACGCATTTATCTCAAAAAACAAGAAAGTTAGAATAAAAAACATTAAACCCGAAGTTAGCAACAATGAATTAATACCAACCTTAATTTATGATGTTATTATTATATTTTTGTTTTTGTGCCGAATTTTAAGACATTTTATAAAAAATAAGAATATATCAAAATGACATTGACATTTCAAACCGAGGTTGACATTTCTAACCGGCAGTTGACCATAACTTCATCAATATCAAAGATTAAAGAGTAAGCAAGATGCGACGCCATAGTGAGCAACTTTGATTTTGAAAAGAGATAAAATACATTCCAATTTAAATGTCCTGACAATAACAAACCATTCCAATTGAAAGGTTCATAGCGTTCAAGGTCATAAAAAATGGCAGCTCTAGATCAAAAGTGCTTTTAGTTCTTTACACTATAATTTTATGAAGTAGTCATACACAAAGTTTTTATTTAAAAATCTTGGTAACCATATACTGTGTGGGTTATTATTATTATTTATTATAAAAGGTAAAATTTTTTAACCTAATTCAAATTGACATCTGTCACTAATAGAATAAGCCCTGGTTTCTATGGAAATATATTTTTGTATATTTCATTTCATCTTTAAAAAATTCACTGTATATAATATTTGCACTAAAATTCAATCAGGACTTTACGATCTAACTAAAATAAGACGTAAAATAAAATAGTTCTAGTAACTCGTAGAAAATTAATTAGTTTTAATTTAGATAAAATTGGGGTTGGCACCCCTTCCTTTCATTTCGATTATTTTGACAGAAACGATTTCTTTTCGCGTTTTAATTAATTTCTTATCATTTTTATAATAGTTAAGTATGTTATTGTGCTTATTCATCAAGAATCGATTCTTTTTTAGTCACTCCTTGGTATGTATGTACATTCTTTGTCAGAAAAAACACCATTGTTTAAATGTCAAATTTTTATAACGTAAAAAAATTTTTGTGAGGTTAGATTTAAATTAAATTATTTAACAACGTCGCTCGCTTTGCTTCTCTTCAAGAGAGAAAGAGCGAGAAGCGAAGCGAGCGACGTTGTTAGATAATTTAATTTAAATCTCAACAATTTTTTTTTTTTAGGTTATAAAAATTTTGACGTTTAAACGATGGTGTAGAAACGTCACTCACTTCGCTTTTAAATCTTTCTTTCTGACAGAAGCGAAGTGAGCTACGTTTCTAAACGTCAAAATTTTTATAACCTAAAATTTTTTTTTAAATTTAATTTTATTTTTTTAATTAATGAATTAGTTAATTAATCAATAAAAATAATTATTAACATCATTTAATTTTAGTGCTGTGATGGTCGAATTTGAAGATGGAACAATAAATAAAATTAACCCAAACAACCCGGTTCATCAACAAGCTTTAATGAAGCGATTATTAACTCCCGACGATGGTAACGAAGGATTTAAAGGGTTCAAAACGGTGCATCGTCACTTAACAAACGGAGATATAGTGCTTTTAAATCGCCAACCGACTCTACATCGCCCATCGATTATGGCCCATAAAACTCGCATTCTAAAAGGCGAAAAAACCTTAAGATTACACTACGCTAATTGCAAAGCTTACAACGCCGATTTCGACGGGGACGAAATGAACATGCACTTCCCACAAAACGAGTTTGCGCGAACCGAAGCTTATAATTTAGTGAACGTTTCGAATCATTATTTAGTCCCGAAAGATGGGACCCCTTTGAGTGGTTTAATTCAAGATCACGTCATTGCGGGGGTTCGAATGACGATTCGGGGGAAATTCTTCGATAAATATGATTATCAAAAGTTTGTTTTTCAAGCGTTAGACTTCCAAACGTCTAATATCGTTTTGTTACCCCCCACAATCTTAAAACCGGCTAAATTATGGTCGGGAAAACAAATAATTTCCACCGTAATAATCAACACTTTACCTAAAAATTCCGAAATGATCAATTTAGATTCAACATCGAAAATCTCGGTGAAATCTTGGCAAAAATCCAAACAAAAACCTTGGAAATTCGGGGGAACCCCACTAAAAGACAACGAAATGACCGAAGCTGAGGTTATAATACGACAAGGGGAGTTATTGGTTGGGGTTTTAGATAAAACTCACATTGGGGCTACCCCGTACGGGTTGGGGCATTGCATTTATGAGTTGTACGGTGGAACTTACGCCACGAAGCTTTTAAGTTCTTTCGGGAGATTATTTACGAGTTATCTTCAAATCGATGGGTTCACTTTAGGAGTTAAAGATATCTTGGTGATGGAGAAAGCCGATGAGAAGCGTAAAGAAGTCGTGGAAAAATCGCGCGAAATCGGCGTCTCAGTAATCGCGAAAGCTTTGGATGTTCCGGAAAATACATCGATTGAGGAAATTTTGGAAAAATTGGAACAATCTCACGCGAATAATCCGAATTTTAGGAACATTTTAGATCGGCAATACAAACAAAGTTTGGATTCGTACACGAATGATATTAATAAAGTTTGTTTACCGGCGGGGTTAATTTGCAAATTTCCCGAAAATAATTTGCAACTAATGGTGCAATCTGGCGCGAAAGGATCTACAGTAAATACTATGCAAATTTCTTGTTTGTTGGGCCAAATCGAATTGGAAGGGAAAAGACCCCCGGTTATGATTTCGGGAAAATCGTTACCGAGTTTTCCTAATTTTGAGTTTTCACCGCGAGCTGGGGGATTCATCGATGCGAGGTTTATGACGGGGATTCAACCCCAAGAATTCTTTTTCCATTGCATGGCAGGACGTGAGGTAAGTTTAAATTAATAAATAAATGTGGTATAATTCAAGAATCATCATGTGGCTTAAAAATCACACTTTTTGTGACTCTAACTAATATATCATGATTAGCACCCATATATTCGTAATAGCAGTATTAGTTTGATAAAAATAAAATAAATTACGATATAAAAGAATCCAATCCAATTGTCAAGATTGGTTCTGAAAATATTTTATAGAATTTAAATTTAAGTTGGTAATGTTGACATTTGACAACCAAGTCAAAAAGCTAACCTAAAACAGGAGGTGAAACATCTATTGAAGTTAGAGTAAGACTATTTTGTACTAGATTTCTGATTAAAAGTCTTGATACGATAGAGTAGATACCATTTCGCAAATCTTCACCAAAATTTAAGCCAGCTTTGCATTACTATGGTTTTTCTATATCAGAGTGAGAAGTCGCGGATTATCTTGAAAACGATAAACTTTAGCTCATTTTGATAAGAGTACCCTTTTTGCTTAAAAAGTACAGAGAATAAGAATTTTTAGTCAAAAACCCAAAAAGTATACTGTCAGAAAAGCTATTGCTATTTTAATCAGTAAAGAATACGTTGCAGAGCGCCCTCTACCGGCTATAGTAACACGGACTCCATAGTAGTCCTTCTAGTGCCAAAAAATGCATTATCAAAAAATGTCCTGTATCTCAAAACAAAGCGTTTGTCGACCTATGTTTATATGAAAGTCCAGCTACAAAAACCTGAAACAGCCTGTATATTCATCGTGTAAAGAGCGCTTAATATTGAAGACGGATCCTAAAAAATACAAATGACTCAGTTCATGGGGGTTGCGGGGAGCCATTAGGGCATTAGACCACCATCCCCTATCGTAGGGGGTTCATGGGGGACCATTAGGGCACTAGCATAGGGTTGAAGGAGTTCATGGGGGACCGTTAGGGCACTAACATGGGGTTGAAGGGGACCATTAGGGCACTAACATGGGGTTGAAGAGGGTCGTTAGGGCACTAACATGGGGTTGATGGGGGTTGAAGGGAACCATTAAATAAATAAATAAATAATCGTTTATTGTGCAAAGCTACAAATAAGCAAAAAAAAATCATAGCTGTTTAACAACAATGCATAACTATTCGCTTCGCACAACCGCCGGGGTTGTTATTGCACTAACATGGGGTTGATGGGGGTTGAAGGGGGATGATGATGACACCGGAAGTGACAAGATACCGGAAGTGACGTCATCACACCGGAAGTGACGTCATGGGGGATTAAGGGGATTCACTTCCGCTCCAGAACCGGCATTAATTATCTACTAAACTCAAATACAAATATCTAAAAAGTAGATCCAATCTTAAAAAACAGATTGTAGTATGTATACTTATAATGACATTACAACATCTATTTGTATTAGGTATTATTAATCAACTTTAATTTTGTTATTATATTCGTAATCTTTATAAAATAACCTTTAAAATGAGTCCAAACATGACGCACTTATCTCAAAAAACAAAAAAGTTGGAATAAAAAACATTAAACCCGAAGTTAGCAACAATGAAGATAGCAATTTAATTTTTAAAAATTAATACCAACCTTAATTTTTGATTTTTTTATTATATTTTTATTTTTGTGACAAATTTTAATACATTTTATAAAAATTAAGAATATATCAAAATGACATTGACATTTCAAAGCGATTGTATTCCACTTCCGGTTACAATGGTCAACCTCAATTTTGACATATTTGTAATCCTCGTGTAAAATCCTTTAAAATGAGTCCAAACATGACGCACTTATCTCAAAAAACAAAAAAGTTAGAATAAAAAAAGTTAAACCCGAAGTTAGCAACAATAAAGATAGCAATTTAATTTTTAAATATTAATACCAACCTTAATTCTTGATTTTTTTATTATATTTTTGTTTTTGTGACAAATTTTAATACATTTTATAAAAATTAAGAATATATCAAAATGACATTGACATTTCAAAGCGGTTGTATTCCACTTCCGGTTACAAATGTCAACCTCAATTTTGACATATTTGTAATCCTCGTGAAAAATCCTTTAAAATGAGTCCAAACATGACGCACTTATCTCAAAAAACAAAAAAGTTAGAATAAAATATGTTAAACCCGAAGTTAGCAACAGTGAAGATAGCAATTTAATTTTTAAATATTAATACCAACCTTAATTTTTGATTTTTTTTATTACATTTTTGTTTTTGTGACAAATATTAACACATTTTATAAAAATTAAGAATATGTCAAAATGACATTGACATTTCAAACCGGAAGTCGCTTATATCTCGAGTAATATTGGAACTAAACGTATCATGTTTGGGCTCATTTTAAAGGATTTTTCAAGAAGATTACAAATATGTCAAAATTGACGTTGACATTCTTAACCGGAAGTTGGCCATAACTTCATTAATATTGGAGATAAATATGTCGTGTTTGTACTCATTTTAAACCTGATGTTAGTTATCACATAATAGACAAATTGACAACTTCATGGTGTTCTTTCATGATGTATTCTTTATTAAAAAACCTTTAAAATGAGTCCAAACATGATGCATTTATCTCAAAAAACCTTAACCTTGCATGTTTTTAGTTCTAAGTCTAGTGTTAGTTCTAGTTTTGCACTACCACTAGAACTAATACGAGACCTAGAACCAGAATCATTCGGGTTTAGCCGTCTTGAGAGACGTGGGACTAAATCCGAATGTTTCTAGTTTTCGGTCTAGTGCTAGTTCTAGTTTTGCACTATCACTAAAACTAACACAAGACCTAGAACCAGAATCATTCGGGTTTAGCCGTCTTTAGAGACGTGCGGCTAAACCCAAATGATTCTAGTTCTAGGTCTAGTGTTAGTTCTAATTTTAATTGTTATGCAGCGCTAGAGCAAGAACTAGAATCATTCGGGTTTAGCCGTCTTTAGAGACGTGCAGCTAAATCCAAATGATTCTAGTTCTAGGTCTTGTGTTAGTTCTAATGATAGTGCTAGTGTAAAACTAGAACTAACACTAGACCTAGAACTAGAAAGTATCGGGTTTAGCCATGCGTCTGAAGACTAAAAATTAATATTTTTGACTGTTAATGTCATATTTTGACGTTTGACAGTTTTGTTGATTCTTAACCTAACAAATTTTCGTTCCTAACCTATTGCATCGCGAAGGATATTTGAAATCCTTTAAAATGAGTCCAAACTCGACCTTTTTACGATAATATAAAAATTACGCCAAAATAAAACAAAATGGCGGATTTTTTCTTGATACAACTAACTTTTGAGATTTTAATCAGAAATTAGTTGTGTTTGGTATCAAATTAAAGGGATTTTAATAAAGATTAAGGATTTAATAGAAAAAATAAAAAAAAATTTTGTTATAAATTTTTTAATATTTTTAAATCGTTTCTAACCAATTGCATTATAAGGGAAATTAAAAATGCTTTAAAATGAATCCAAACTCGACATATTTACGAAAATATTGATGTTACGTCAAGAAAGACAAAATGGCGGGTTTTTTGTTGAATTCTTAACCTAACATTTTATTTTTTAACCTAAATAGGTCATGTTTGGTATCAAATTAAAAGCTTTTTGATTTTTATTACGATTATTTCAGCATTTATCATAAAATAATTAAATTCGATTTTGACATTTGACAGTTTTTAACAACTTTTTCATTCTTCAACCTAAATAGGTCGTATTTAATATCAAATTAAAGCGTATTTCTTGCTTATTAAGATTATAACAATATCTATCAAAAAATAATTAAATTCGATTTTGACATTTGACAGTTTTTAGCTTTTTTCATTTTTTGACCCATACACACTGTGTTTGGCATCAAATTATACTTAACGCATCGTAAAGGAAATTAAAAATACTTTAAAATAAGTCCATGCTCGACCTATTTATATCAACATAAAACGTACGTCAAAAAAAAAAAAAATAGCGGATTTTTTAAAATTCTTAACCTAACTTTTTAACTACTGTTGGCTTCTAATAAAAAAAATGGATCCCAAAAAATAGAAATGATTCAGTTCAACTTCTGTTTATTAAATATCTAAAAACTAGAACCAACCTTAGAAAAACAGATTGTAGATTCGGATTTTTATTAAAAAACCTTTAAAATGTGTCCAAACATGACGCACTTATCTCCAACAATGAAGATAACAATTTGATTTTTAAATTTAATATTAATACCAACCTTAATTTCTGTTTTTTTTATTAGATTTTTGTTTTGTTACAAATTTTAAGATATTTTATAAAAATATCTTAAAATGACAAATTTTCATATTTTCGTGTCTACCTCGATATTGACGTATCTAAGAGCAAAAGTGCAAGAGAGCAATATTGTTAACAATAAAATTTGCAACAATTTTTCTTATAGCAAGCTCCGATTCTCAAGCGTTACCTTTAATAACTTGAAAGAGCAACAAATTCATTAATAACTTGAAAAAGCAACAAATTCATCAAATTTTCATATTTTCGTATCTACCTCGATATTGACGTATCTAAGAGCAAAAGTGCAAGAGAGCAATGTTGTTAACAATAAAATTTGCAACAATTTTTGTTATAAAAGTTTTCTTATAGCATTAAACCTACCGATTTTTTACCATTGATTCTACCGACATTTGGTCGGCATAGGTTGGCAGCGCTGCATATAATAGACTTTTTATTTTTAACGTGTTTTTTGGTTCATTTCACATCGATTAAAAAAAATCGTTGATTTTTAACCCACATGATGATTCTAGAATTTTTCCACAAAAATTATTCANGTTACCTTTAATAACTTGAAAGAGCAACAAATTCATCAAATTTTCATATTTTCGTATCTACCTCGATATTGACGTATCTAAGAGCAAAAGTACAAGAGAGCAATATTGTTAACAATAAAATTTGCAACAATTTTTGTTATAAAAGTTTTCTTATAGCATTAAACCTACCGATTCTTTACCATTGATTCTACCGACATTTGGTCGGCATAGGTTGGCAGCGCTGCATATAATAGACAAATTTAATGTCCAACTTCAAGGTGTTCTTTCATGATGACTTTTTATTTTTAACGTGTTTTTTGGTTCATTTCTCATCGATTAAAAAAAATCGTTGATTTTTAACCCACATGATGATTCTAGAATTTTTCCACAAAAATTATTAAAAAAAAATAACCCCACTTTTATGCATTGTTTGTATTTAAGCAACGATCTGTCAAACTTTGAGAGAAGCGAAGTTAGCAGCGTTTCTAAATCGTGGTGCAAATACAAACAAAGCGGCATAACCTCAATTTTTATTAATTTATTAATTAATTAATTTTTTAGGGGCTAATTGATACAGCGGTAAAAACGAGTCGAAGTGGTTATTTACAACGCTGTTTAATTAAACCACTTGAAGGAGTAACCGTAGCTTACGATTTAACAGTTCGAGATAGCGATAAATCGGTGATACAATTTTTTTATGGCGAAGACGGATTGGACATCTCAAAATCGCAATTCTTTAACGATAAACACATCAAGTTTTTGATCGACAACAAAAAGGTTATTTACGACAAAAAGGTAATTAAGCAATTGAAAGAAGTTCCCAATTACAAATTAATGACCCAACACGCTTCAAAAATCAATGAGTGGAGATCGAATTTTGGGGATCCCTTAAAAAATAAACAAATCTCATCATTTACAGCCTTTTCAAAAGCGATCAGTGAAAAGACCCAGTTTAAAAACGAAAATAAACGCTCAAAAATCCCGAGTAGGACTAAAAAAACGAAATGTATTTTGGAAATGTGGAATGAGGCTGATTCCGAGTTAAAGGAGAGTCTTAAAAAGCGATTTGAGCACTCCCCAGATCCTGTTATATCGTTATTTCAACCCGACGTTTATTTGGGGTCAATCAGCGAGCGATTACAATCGTTAATAGATAATTCGAACACAAAGTTTGAGTCAAAAAAAGAAAGAAAACAATTCGAGGATACCCTAAAATTAAAAATAATGCAAGCCGTTTGTCAACCTGGCGAATCTGTTGGGCTTTTAGCTGCGCAATCTATTGGGGAACCATCCACTCAAATGACGTTGAATACATTTCATTTCGCTGGGAGAGGGGAAATGAACGTGACTCTGGGAATACCCAGATTAAGGGAGATTTTAATGACCGCTTCGAAAGAAATTAAAACGCCGAGTATGCAAATACCGTTTTTGGACGTTCCAAATTTGGAGAAAAAAGCCGACGATTTAAAACGGATTTTAACGCGAGTTGTTGTTCAAGATGTTTTGGAAAAAATCGATGTGACGAATTTGTTGGAGTTAAAACCGATTCGGCAACAAAAGTATGTTTTGAAGTTTACGTTTCTTCCGTACGAACTTTATAAGTTCGATTATGTGGTTAAGCCGAAAAAAGTTATTCGACATATGGTTAAAAAGTTTTTTACGCAAATGTTTGCCGCTATTAAGAAATATTGTAAGCTTCGCCAACAACCGTAAGTTAATTTCTTAATTAATTTTAATTTTTACCGTGTTACGCATCACTTGATTAAGCCACAAATATGACATACTAGAGTCAAAATAATGTTTCATGTAAACATTTTTGAAGAAAATTATCTAGAGTTTGATTTTGTACTCTTCAACTGGTTTCTATTTTATATAGAATTTAAGTCTAACTATCAATCAACATATCAATGTCGAAATCGGATTATTAGTTCCTAATTTACAAAGTTAAAGTTTAAAAAGTTGTAAAATGAATGAACATGGCTTAAAAATCGACGATTTTTCTTTAATCAATGTGATATGACCCAAAAAACTGCGGAAAAGGACTAACACAAGATTAAATTCAGTTATAAAACTTCTATTATATCATAACTAACTTCAGGTTTAAAATGTCAACCTCAATTTTGACATATTTGTAATCTTCATTAAAAATCCTTTAGCAGAAACTGTCTTTTGAGGTTATGTATTGATTTGAGAGATTCCTGTTTTAATTTTTATAATATATTATAAAGAAAGACAAATTACAATTAATGCATTAATAGTAAAAGAATTAAAACGTAAGTTATTATCAGTTTCACAACTACTTAAAAAAAGAAATAAAAGTAATATTTACAAGAAATATTATAAATAATTGTTACAAGGGAAAAAATAGATACAAAACAAAGGCATAACGAAGAAAACCCGACTGAATATGAAGATAATGAAACTACGACAGACGACAGAGAAGAAGATAAAACGCACTAAATCTGGTCGACAAGTTAAAAAACCTAACCACTGAAGATCCTGAAACATTTCAAGAGGCTGTAAAAGAACAAAACTGGAAAGAAGCAATAAAAAAGGAATTAAATTCATTAAAAAAACTAAAAACATGGGAAGAAACCAACCTAACTGAAGGAAAGAAAGCTATAGAAACAAAATGATAATTAACTTCAGGTTTAAACTGTCAACCTTAATTTTGACATANTATGTCAAAATTGACGTTGACATTCTTAACCGGAAGTTGACCATAACTTCATTAATATTGAAGGTAAATATGTCGTGTTTGTACTCATTTTAAAGGATTTTTAATGAAGATTACAAATATGTTAAAATTGAGGTTGAAATTCTAAACCTGAAGTTAGTTAACATATAATAGACAAATGGACAACTTCATGGTGTTCTTTCATGATGTATGCTTTATTAAAAAAATCGTTTAAAATGTGTCCAAACATGATGCATTTATCTCAAAAAACAAAGAAGATAGATTAAAAAACATTAAACCTGAAGTTAGCAACAAACCCGAATTTAATTTTTAAATATTAATACCAACCTTAATTTCTTATTTTTTTATTATATTTTTGTTTTTGTGACATATTTTAAAACATTTCATAAAAATTAAGAATATATCAAAATGACATTGACATTTCAAACCTCATTTTAAAGGACTTATCAAATCCAATTTAATAAAAGTAATTATTTAAAAAAAAATTTAAATAAAATATTTTCAAAATGGCTAAAATTTAAGACTGGTTATTTTAGATTTAATCATTTTGATGAGATTAGAAATGAAAAATCCTTTAAAATGAGTCCAAACTCGACGGGGTTACCTTTAAAAACGAATATTTTGTAGATGGCGCTCGTTGAGAATACGCCACTTTGAAAAAATTATCTGTAAAGATAATCCCATCGTGTTTGGGCTCATTTTAAAGGATTTTTCAAACCCAATTTAATAGAAGTAATTATTTAAAAAGAAATTAATTAAAATATTTACAAAATAGCTAATATTTAAGACGGGTTATTTTAGATTTAATTGTTTTGATGAGGTTAGAAATGAAAAATCCTTTAAAATAAGTCCAAACTCGACGGGGTTATTTTCAAAAACGAATATTTTGTAGATGGCGCTCGTTGAGAATCCGCCATTTTGGAAAAATACATTATGAAAGAACACCATGAAGTTGTCCATTTGTTTATTATATCATAACTAACTTCTAGTTTAAAATATCAACCTTAATTTTGACATATTTGCAATCTTCATTAAAAATCCTTTAAAATGAGTACAAACACGACATATTTATATCTAATTGTGGCTATGAGTTATTAGCCAACATAATAATACAATTATAAAATTAACTTTTTGGCAGACTTTTTATTTTGTGTCTGTTATGTTTTGCTTCAAAAACAATTGTGTGTGGATAAAAAAATAATAACAAATGAATTACAATTTTATGTTTTTAAATGGAGCTGCTGCCACAGCACGCTACATCCACTTCCCCTCCTATAAAGAAAGAGCAGAAAGAGGGCAAACATTTAGTCAAAAATTTGAATTAAAATTTAAAATGTACTTTTTTAGTTTTATTAATTACTAAATTGTTGTATTCAGGAGAAACGTTTTCGTTCAGAAAGAAAGCCGGTTTCAGCAAATCGAGGCTTACATTTATTTCTTTACTGTCTTTCAATACAACGAAAAATTTTNTTTAAAATGTCAACCTCAATTTTGACATATTTGTAATCTTCATTAAAAATCCTTTAAAATGAGTACAAACACGACATATTTATCTTCAATATTAATGAAGTTATGGTCAACTTCCGGTTAGAAATGTCAACCTCAATTTTGACAATTTTGTAATCGTCGTGAAAAATCCTTTAAAATGAGTCCAAACATGATACGTTTAATTCCAATATTACTCGAGATATAAGCAACTTCCGGTTTGAAATGTCAATGTCATTTTGATATATTCTTAATTTTTATAAAATGTCTTAAAATTAGTCACAAAAACTAAAATATAATAAAAAAAATCAAAAATTAAGGTTGGTATTAATATTTAAAAATTAAATTGCTATCTTCATTGTTGCTAACTTCGGGTTTAATGTTTTTTTATTCTAACTTTTTTGTTTTTTGAGATAAGTCCGTCATGTTTGGACTCATTTTAAAGGTTTTTTAATGGTGATGACAAATATGTCAAAATTGACGTTGACGTTTCAAACCGGAAGTGATTGTATCTCCATTAATGTCAAAGTTAAATATGTCGAGTTTGGACTCATTTTAAATGTTTTTTTATGAAGTTGACAAATATGTCAAAATTAATAGTTGAAAGTTCGAACTTTTTGGTTTTTTTGAGAGAAATGCGTCATGTTCGGACTCACTTTAAAGGTTATTTTATGAAGGTTACGAATATAATAATAAAATTAAAGTTGACGTTGACAACTGAAACGGAAAATATGATATATACAACATAGTAATATCTTATGCTAACTAGCGCTACCTACCACTGCCATTAGAACTAATTTTTTAATCATTTCTCTCAAGACGGCTAAACCCGAATGATTCTAGTTTTAGGTTTTGTGTTAATTCTAGTGATAGTGCTAGTGATTCTAGTTTTAGTGTAATAAAAATATGCAACAGGGATAATATATGTAAAATGGATAAGATGAGAGATGTTAATCTATTTGTAGAGTCTCTGAAGATGGCCAAGGGCCGAAACTAGTTAGATTTAAATTCTATATAAAATAAAAGACATAAATTTTTAATTTTATACTAAAGTCAGGAAACCGCCACTGGTCCGAAATTGTAAGTTCATCTATTTGTTCTATTGTAGAATTTCTTGGTGTATCTAAGTGTCATATCTAAGTCGGTTCTTAGACGTATGATGCAAATCGGACTTCAAATCGTATAACGTGATTGCCGCTTAGCTTTATACATACTTTAAAACAAATGGTATTTTAGGTCTTTCGGAATTCAGCATTTTTTCTAAGATAAGTTACACCTTTACCTATCAGACAGTATGAAAATCTCTAATTTATGTAGAAACGTCACTTACTTCACTTCTAAATCTTTCTTTCTAACAGAAGCGAAGTGAGCAACGCAACGTTTTTAAATCGTTGTTTAAATGTCAAATTTTTATAACGTAAAAAAATATTTGTGAGGTTAGATTTAAATTAAATTATCTAGCAACGTCGCTCGCTTCGCTTCTCTCAAAGAGAGAAAGAGCGAGAAGCGAAGCGAGCGACGTTGCTAGATAATTTAATTTAAATCTAACCTCAACAATTTTTTTTAGGTTATAAAAATTTTAACGTTTAATGAATTGCGTAGAAACGTCACTCACTTCGTTTTTAAATCTTTCATCATATCAGGATTTTACGATCTGACTAAAATAAGATTAAATTAGTTTTAATTTGGATAAAATTAGTGTTGGCACCCCTTCCTTTCATTTCGATTTTTTGACAGAAACGGTTTCTTTTCGCGTTTTCATTAATTTCTTATCATTTTTATAATAATTAAGTATTTTATTGTACTTATATATCAAGAATCGATTCTTTTCCAGTAACTCCTTGGTAAGTAAGTAGTTTTTATCGACTCAAAATTCTTTTTTCAAGTAGTCTATATATTTTATTTTTATTAAGCGAAGTGCGCAACGTTTTATGTTATTGTCCTGTGAACATTTCTAAATCGATTATATGTCAAATTTTAAAAACGTAAAAAATTTTTGTGAGGTTAGATTTAAATTAAATTATCTAACAACGTCGCTCGCTTCGCTTCTCTCAAAGAGAGAAAGAGCGAGAAGCGAAGCGAGCGACGTTGCTAGATAATTTAATTTAAATCTCATAACCTCAACAATTTTTTTTTAGGTTATAATAATTTTGACGTTTAAGCAATTGTGTAGAAACGTCACTCACTTCGCTTCTAAAACTTTCATGATATCAGGATTTTACGATCTGACTAAAATAAGACGTAAAATAAGATTAAATTAATTTTAATTTGGGTAAAATTGGGGTTGGCACCCCTTCCTTTCATTTCGATTTTTTGACAGAAACGGTTTCTTTTCACGTTTTCATTAATTTCTTATCATTTTTATAATAATTAAGTATTTTATTGGGCTAATTTATCAAGAATCGATTCTTTTCTAGTAACTCCTTGGTAAGTAAGTAGTTTTTATCGACTCAAAATTCTTTTTTCAAGTAGTCTATATATTTTATTTTTATTAAGACGTAAAATAAGATTAAATTAGTTTTAATTTGGATAAAATTGGGGTTGGCACCCCTTCCTTTCATTTCGATTTTTTGACAGAAACGTTTTCTTTTCGCGTTTTCATTAATTTCTTATCATTTTTATAATAATTAAGTGTTTTATTGTGCTTATTTATCAAGAATCGATTCTTGAATCGCTCTTTCTCTCTGAGAGAAGCCGGGACGCTAATTTTTCCTTTCGATTATTCCTCTCCTTTAACGTGTAATGGTAATAATATCCTATCTTTTGGTTGTTTCATTTATATGTTACACACGTTACAACAAATTCCAATTAATATTTATTAATTAAGACAAAGTCTTAAAATATGGAATATCGGATTAGTACCTATCAAAGAACTTTGCCTGCAAAAAAATTTATTGATCTTGTCGAAAAAAAAACTCGAGCGATTTAAGTTAATTTTAAAAAATGACATTGTTTCAATCAAAATAGATGGTGCCAGTGTAATGGTGAAATTGGGAAAATTAATACAACCATTGTAGCAATTGGAGCGTTATACAAGCGACATTTTTTTAACTCAAAGTTGCGTATTTTTATTGAACTAAAACCAGAACAAGAACTAGAAACATTTAGCATTAGTCGAGAAAAAAACTTTCAGTTGTCAATGTCAACTTTAATTCTATTATATTCGTAATCTCCATAAAATAACCTTTAAAATGAGTCCAAACTCGACATATTTAACTTTGATATTAATGGAGATACAATCACTTCCGGTTTGAAACGTCAACGCCAATTTTGACATATTCGTCATCTTCATTAAAAAACCTTTAAAATGAGTCCAAACACGACGCACTTATCTCAAAAAACAAAAAAGTTAGAATAAAAAACATTAAACCCGAAGTTAGCAACAATGAAGATAGCAATTTAATTTTTAAATATTAATACCAACCTTAATTTTTAATTTTTTGTATTACATTTTTGTTTTTGTGACAAATATTAAGACATTTTATAAAAAATAAGAATATATCGAAATGACATTGACATTTCAAACCGGAAGTTGCTTATATCTCGAGTGATATTGGAATTAAACGTATCATGTTTGGACTCATTTTAAAGGATTTTGCACGACGATTACAAATATGTCAAAATTGAGGTTGACATTCTTTACCGGAAGTTGACCATAACTTCATTAATATTAAAGATAAGTATGTCGTGTTTGTACTCATTTTAAAGGATTTTTAATGAAGATTACAAATATGTCAAAATTGATGTTGACATTTTAAACCTGAAGTTAGTTATCATATAATAGAAGTTTTACAACTGAAATTAACCTAGTGTTAGTCACTTTTCCGCACTTCCTTTTTATTTTTAACGTGTTTTTTGGGTCATTTCACAAAAATAAACTTTAATTTTGTAAATTAGTAACTAATAATCTGATTTCGACTTTGATATGTGATCTTTTTTAACAAAAGAAGAAGAAATATTAAGAAACTTGTAAAATGGATAGGATAAGGGATGTTAATCTATTTGTAGAGTCTCTGAAGATGGCCAAGGGTCGAAACTAGTTAGACTTAAATTCTAGGTAAAATAGAAACCAGTTTAAAAGTACAAAATCAAACTCTAGATAACTATCTAAAATTTTTACACGAAACATCATTACAATATAAGCCACGATTTACAGAAACAGCCTGTATAATCGTAAAACGACCGACCAAGCGGATTCTGTGCTTGAGTTTTGAGTTAATTGAAGACGATGAACAAATATCGTTTAATTTAAACAATCAAACTGGTAACCGAAGCACGGAAGATTGTCAAATTATTTCGTCGCTCTCCTTTAAAAAACAGTGTTCTGCAGAATTATGTCAAAAGGAAGCATTAAAAGGAGTTAAAACTTATTTTAGATAGTAAAACACGATGGAGCTGTATTCAAAAGTCTATGATTGAAGATTCCATGCCGATGAATCTGACTGACCATGACTTTGAAGTTCTACAACTTCCTATTTTGTGTTTTTTATATAAATTTGTTTTATTCATTTGGTGAACTCCTACAATAAACAATAAATTAAAAACCCCAAAGTAAGTACCTTTTTAAACGTTTTTTAAATAATTTTTTACAAAGTCCGGGATTTTGGCCCACTTTTTTATTCCCGCGAATTGAACACCCTATATCTCAATATAATTTTACTTTTTAATCATTACCCTTTTAGATTAATCTTCAAAGAAACTCAAAAACCGAAAAAGAACAACGAAGAGATCGACGAGGAAGGAGTTCCCCAAGAAAACGATAATCGTCTCGAAGAAGAGAGCTCTGACGAAGAACCCGAAGACGCCGAAGATGCTAAAACGAACTATAAATACGAAAAAACCCACGAAAGTGATGAAGAAGGCGAAGATGCGAACAATGAGAATGAATCAGATGAAGAAAGGGATAAAAACGAAGAAGAAGAAGATGAAGATGAGGATAAAGCGACCATTTTAAACGCAAATACTTTAGCAAACGATTATAAATTCGATTCGGTTAATTATAAATGGTGTGAATTAACTTTTACGGTAAATACTTCAACCTAATTAATGTTAAAAAAAATAATAATTTATTTTTAGCTTCCTTTAAGTAGTAAAAAATTAGATATGACAGCGATTTTAAGAGAAGTCGCATCAAAATCGGTTATACACGAAACTCCAAACATAAAACGAGCTTTCACCTTCATCAAAGACGATAAATTAACTTTATTAACCGATGGAATCAACATTGTTGTAAGAAATTCGACATAACCTCACTTTTTTTTTTTTTTTTTTTAAATTATATAATTTTATTTTAAGGAAATGTTTAAATACAACAAATTATTAGATTTAAACAAGTTATATTCGAACGATATTCATAAAATAGCGGAAACTTACGGGATTGAAGCCGCTGTTAGAGTAATTACAAAGGTTAAATAATTTGAGGTTATGTCACTTAAATGTCATTAAAATTTTTTTTTATTTTTTAGGAAATTCAAGATGTTTTTAAAGTTTATGGAATCACCGTTGATCCGCGGCATTTAAAGCTAATTTCGGATTATATGACTTTTCGGGGGGTTTTTGTGCCGTTTAGCCGGAAAGGGATGGAAAGTAGTGCTTCTCCGCTACAACAAATGTCGTTCGAGGCATCTTTAGAGTTTCTTCGAGGAGCAACTTTAGGAGGTTTATTTTTGCTTTAAATTAGTTACTAAATTGTTTATAACAATAAAATTATTATTATTTTAGGTAAATGTGATCAATTATCGAATCCATCGAGTAGTTTGATGGTTGGAAAACCTTGTAATGTTGGAACGGGGTTATTTGGAACTTTTTACAAGTTTTTCCCCTCGAAAGCAGGTTAGATATATTTTTTAAATTGAAATATTCGTTAAAATTAAATAAATTAATTTGGTTTAAAAAAAATCCGATAGATGGCGCTTATTTTTTTCTTTATAACCTCACTTTATTAATTAATTTTAATTTTTTTTTAATCGATTAAATAATCTTCTTTAGGAACCGCAATAAAATTGAAAAATTAAATTGGATCAATCGATTTCAATTAATCGTTTAACTTAAATTAACCTTTCCAATTACGGTTTTATTTTGTTTACTACGCGATGGCGCCACTTTCCGCATACAAACTGTCAATTAACGCGTTTGTTATTTAAACTTCGAAAAACGATCAATTTTAATGAGTTCCTGACGTTTTTAACGAATTGCTCATGCTATCCAACGATTAAAACCCCTTTACGATGGAATTACGAGCGGAGGAGATACTAAAAGGATTCCAAGTGTGAGTTAATCAAAAAAATTCGAATTTGAGGTTATGTTGTTATTATTGTGTGGTTAGAAATTGGATTTGTTTGAAAGACGCCGAACATGGGAACGTGTTTTGGCAAGGAACCGACGATTTAAGTTTACCGGGCGTTGAACACCGCGCCCAAGTCCCCAAAAACATCCTGCAATGCCCCGCCGTTTCGAGGGAGTTCAATTTTAGTTCGAAGGAGGCCATCGAAAAGTTCCGATTAGAACAAAAAGTCTTATTTAAAGGGCGGTGCTTGGAGGAGTGGTCCTTCGAGTTTGGATACGTTATGCCCGAATCGACGAATACGTGGCAAAGTATTATGGAGGCAGCCCCGGAATCCCAAATGATGCCGGCTTCCGTTTTAAAGTAAGTCAATTTTTTTATTGTCTTAAATTTTTAAATAGAATTTGGTTTTTAGCGGAAATGTTGTCATCGAAACACGATTCTTCGATGATAAATTATTGATATGTACATCGAAAGTGAGGCTATTTTATGTGTAAAAGTGAATTTGACAGTTTGAGGTTAGGATTAGGAATAATTTTTATTTGACACTTGGGACCATTTTTTTTTGTGTTGTTGGTAACGAAATTAACCTAAAATAAGTGTTAATTATTGAGGTTAAGTGTTTAATAATTAAATTTTAAGCAGTTTTGTTTTGAAAAATAAATCCAAAAGATGAATAATCATTTATTATTAATGTTTTACACCTAAAATTATGATTTCTTTATTGTTTCTATCATTTTAAAATTTAAGATGTCAACTTCATAATAAAAAATGTCGTTTTAAAGTTGATAATGAAGTTTTAAAAGTAGGAAATATCATTTTAAAGTTTAAAACAACAATTTCACATCATTTTGAAGTTTAAGATGACAACTTCATAATAGGAAATGTCATTTTGGAGTTGAAAATGTCAACTTGATTAGAAAAAATGTTATTTTGAGGTTCATGAAGTGACCTTGAGAATAAGAAATGTCATTTTGATGTTTAAAACGTCACTGTCAAATGTGACAATGTCATTGTAAAGTTTAAGATGTCAACTTCATAATAAAAAATGTCGTTTTAAAGTTGATAATGACGTTATAAAAGTAGGAAATATCATTTTAATGTTTAAAACAAGAATTTCACATCATTTTAAAGTTTAAGGTGACAACTTCATAACAGGAAATGTCATTTTGGAGTTGAAAATGTCAACTTGATTAGAAAATATGTTATTTTGAGGTTCATGAAGTTTGCTTGAGAATAAGAAATGTTATTTTGATGTTTAAAACGTCAATGTCAAATATAACAATGTCATTTTAAAGTTTAAGATGTCAACTTTATAATAAAAAATGACGTTTTATAGGTAGGAAATATCATTTTAAAGTTTAAAACAAAGATTTCACATCATTTTGAAATTTAATGGTGACAACTTCATAATCGGAAAAGTCATTTTGAAGTTGAAAATGTCAACTTGATTAGAAAAATGTTATTTCGAGGTTCATGAAGTCTGCTTGAGAATGAGAAATGTCATTTTGATGCTTAAAACGTCAATGTCAAATATGACAATGTAATTTTAAAGTTTAAGATGTCAACTTCATAATAAAAAATGTCGTTATAAAGTTGATAGTGACGTTTTAAAAGTAGGAAATATCATTTTAAAGTTTAAAACAACAATTTCACATCATTTTGAAGTTTAAGATGACAACTTTATAATGGGAAATGTCATTTTGTAGTTGAAAATGTCAACTTGATTAGAAAAAATGTTATTTTGAGGTTCATGAAGTGACCTTGAGAATAAGAAATGTCATTTTGGTGCTTCAAACGTCAATGTCAAATATGGAAATGTCATTTTAAAGTTTAAGATGTCAACTTTATAATAAATAATGTCGTTTTAAAGTTCATAATGACATTTTAAAAGTAGGAAATATCATTTTAAAGTTTAAAACAAGGATTTCACATCATTTTGAAATTTAATGGTGACAACTTCATAATCGGAAATGTCATTTTGAAGTTGAAAATGTCAACTTGATTAGAAAAAATGTTATTTTGAGGTTCATGAAGTCTGCCTGAGAATAAGAAATGTCATTTTGATGCTTAAAACGTCAATGTCAAAAATGACGTTGTCATTTTGAAGTTAAAAAAGTCAACTTCACTATAATTAATGTCGTTTTAAAGTCCATACATTTTAAAATATCAATGCCAAAGTGTTTTTGAAGTTCATGATGTCAACTTTATAGTAGAAAATGTCATTTTGAAATTTAGAACGTCAATGTCATTTTGAAGTTGAATTAGACCTCCATTTTGAAGTTTTAAATATTGATGTCATTTTGGTGTTCATCTTTACAAGAAAGTTGTCGTTTTGAAACCGATAATGTCATTTTGTGAATAAAAAATGACATCTTGAAGTTGAAAATGTCAATTTGACACTAAAAATGTCGTTTTGAATCCTCCATCGTATAATAAAATAATTAAAATCTCACCTCACCAACGATTTTTGTTATTTTGTAAATAAAAGATATCATTTTAAAGCTCAAAATGTTAACTTCACAACAATAAATGCCGTTTTGAACTTAATGATATCATTTTAGAAGTAAAAATATCGTTTTGAAGTTAAAACCATCAACGGCGATAATGACATTTTGAAATTGTAGGTGTCAATTTCATAACAGAAAATGTCAACTTCAGACTAGAATATGTAATTTTGGGAATAAAAAATATCATTGTCAAGTTCATAATGTCATTTTAATTAATAAAAATGTCAAACTGATGTTTACACATCAATATGAGAATATGACATATCATATTGAAATTGATAAAATTAATTTGAGAATACAAATTTTCATTTTGTTGAGTTATAAAATGTCATTTTGACGTTAAGATGTCAATTTGCGTATAACTGAACTTTTCTCTCAGTTTTTTAGCTCTGTTTATATCGACGGTTGCCTGAATACCTCTCACAAGCGAAACGTTATTTACCAATCGCAGCCGTGGTTCTCTGAACGTGATGTCTCTCACCTTCTGACACAAGTCGACCATAAATTGGGCCCTGGCACCGATGGCTTGCCGGGACACTTTATTGCTAAATGTGCAGGGGAGTTGGCAACTCCTCTATTCATTATCTTCAGCCGCTCCATTGAAAATTCAGTCTTTCCCTCTGAATCGAAAAAAGCCTTCATAACTCCAGTCTTTAAATCGGGTAGCAGACATTTTGTGTGCAACTATCGTCCAATTTCCCTATTATCCATTGTTTCGAAGGTCTTTGAAAAATTAATTTATGACAACTTATATAGCTATCTTCGACCTGCTATTATTCCTCAACAACACGGTTTTTTGCGTGGGCGATCAGTTGAGACGAATCTGGTTGCGTTTCTTCAATACATGCTATCTACACCGATCTGACAAAAGCTTTTGGCAAGCTTCACCATAACATTCTTATGGATAAGCTGAACAAGTTTAACCTATCTAACGGGCTGTCTCTATGGATTTCGTCCTATATATCTAAGAGATTTCAAGCAGCCTTGGTGTACCTCAAGGTAGCCATCTTGGACCTATTTTATTTCTAGCCTATATAAATGATGTTTCTGAGTACTTTCATTATTCGAATTTTTCTCTTTTCGCTGATGACTGTAAAATTTTTGCTAGCATCAGGTTTGCTTTTGGCTGTATTCAGTTGCAAGATGACATTGACAGATTTGATTCTTATTGCTCACAAAATTACTTATTTCTAAATCCTGATAAGTGTTGTCAGATCACGTTCAGTAGAAAGAGATATAATGTTAACTTCAAATATATGATAGGTCCGCATTATCTTACTCAATCCTCTTCAGTTAAAGATCTTTGCGTTGTTCTGGATTCTAGACTACTCTATCGCGATCATATTACTTCTATCGTTTCTGAAGCTACTAAGCGCCTAGGATTTATCATTAGGATTTCTCGTCAATTTACTAACGTCCGCTGCATTACTTCTTTATATATGGCATACGTTGCTAGCGGTTTAAATTTCGCTTCAGTAGTATGGAGTCCTGCCTATTGAGGGCCTACAGAGAAGATTTATCCGTTATCTTGCTCACAAATTTTATCTTCCGTATTGCCCTTATTCCCAAAGATGCCAGGTGTTTGGTTTAAGATCTCTCTGTGGCCGTCGACACAGTACGGACCTATAGTTCCTGTTCAAACTAGTTAATGGAGTTCTCGACGCTCCGGTTCTTTTAGAGCAGATTCACTTTAATGTTCCTTTTTATGCTACTCGATCACTATTTTTGTTCAGACTACCTGCTTCTGGATCTAGTGCGCATGCCGGTTCACCTCTGTTGAGACTGATGCACACTTGCAATGTTTATTGTTTCAATGTTGATTTCTTTTGTAATTCATTGATGTCGTTTAAAAAATCCGTTTTAACTTTAAGTACTTGTCATTAGTTTTTTTTCTTTGTAAAATTAATTTACTCAATCGAAACACATTCGTTTACCATATTTATATTGATTTCTTGCGGGTGGTGGGGCAGAAAAGAAAAGCAACAAAAATTTGTCCTTTTTTATGGTCCTTATTATTCTATTTTTCTATCCGCGTAATATCGATGATTATGTGGACCAATCTAGTCTCTGTGTTGATTTTCTTTTCTGCTTCGTGCTCGCTGATTTAATTCCATTTTTTTTTATTGTTTCATTCTTTTGATGAATTTTTTAGTTTTTTTTTGTTCTTTCTTATGTAGTCTGTTTTCTTTTCTTTTCTTTTATATTATTGTAGTTACTTTTTTGGGATTTTTTCCTGTACGTGTCCCGAATATGAATAAATACATAAATTTAACAATAGGAAATGTCAATGTCAAAGATACCATTTTTGTCTATTTGTCATTCTTTATGTCTATGGGTTTAAAACGTCAACTTGACAGTAGAAAATGTCATTTTGATGTTTAAAACGTAAATGTCAAATGTGACAATGTCATTTTAAAGTTTAAGATGTCAACTTCATAATAAAAAATGTTGTTTTAAAGTTGATAATGACGTTTTAAAAGTGGGAAATATCATTTTAAAGTTTAAAACAACAATTTCACATCATTTTGGAATTGAAAATGTCAAATTGATTAAAAAAAATTTTATTTTGAGGTTCATGAAGTTTGTTTGAGAATAAGAAATGTCATTTTGATGTTTAAAACGTCAATGTCAAATATGACAATGTAATTTTAAAGTTTAAGATGTCAACTTCATAATAAAAAATGTCGTTATAAAGTTGATAATGACGTTTTAAAAGTAGGAAATGTCATTTTAAAGTTTAAACAAAAATTTCACATCATTTTAAAGTTTAAGGTGACAACTTCATAATAGGAAATGTCATTTTGGAGTTGAAAATGTCAACTTGATTAAAAAAAAATTTTTTTGAGGTTTATGAAGTTTGTTTGAGAATGAGAAATGTTATTTTGATGTTTAAAACGTCAATGTCAAAAATGACGTCATTTTGAAGTTAAAAAGTCAACTTCACGATAATTAATGTCGTTTTAAAGTCCACACATTTTAAAATATTAATGGCAAAGTGTTTTTGAAGTTCATGATGTCAACTTTATAATAGAAAATGTCATTTTGAAGTTTAGAACGTCAATGTCAAATATAATAATGTCATTTTGAAGTTGAATTAAATCTCCATTTTGAAATTTCATATGTTGATGTCATTTTGGTGTTCATCTTTACAAAAGAAGTTGACGTTTT